CAAAATCCTTTTCGTACTGCGTCTCTCATGATTGATGTTGTTTATTTGGTGAGTAAACACTTGATACTTTCCTTTAGTTCTTCAGATAAGGTTTCCTTTAACTCTCAACTCTCTGGGCACGTTTAAATTAGCTGATTTAAAGTCCTTTGTGTCGACTTCCTGCAAGATGGCCGATTAAGCAGCGTACTAGTTATGAATTGGGCTTTGAACATTTAGGTCAGCAGTTCGACACTACCAGCTGTTCTGAGGGCGAAAGATGAGGCTTTCTGCTCCCATAAAGATTTATAGCTTCGAAAACCCTATACAGGGTCGCTATGAGTCAGAACCGACTCCACGGCACATACCCAACCACCACTACAGGGACTATCTACAGCAGAAATAGGAGAGACCAAGTAAAACAGACACAAGAAAATTCTGGCACCCTGAACTTCAGAAGAAAGGTTAGAGAGGTAGATGGAGTGCTTGCTGGGAGGAGAGGCTGAGCAGGGATGACGAGAGAGGAAGAGACTGATTGGTGAGTAGTTGGCCAGACGTGGCATGACCATCTTGTGAGCAGCTTCGGCAGTGGAGGGAGGTTTGGCAGAGCAGATTCACTCCAGCGACAGGAAAGACGTGATTTCTTCTTTTTCCCCATGCTGTCCTGGTGACCCGAAGTGTGGCCAGCTGTCACCCTCATCCAGCCCCAGTGCAGACCCTGCTACCCTTGAGTTCAAAGCCACATGGTTGGAAACCATGCCAATGTGAGGTGGGGGCCAGCATCACCACTTTGGTGTGCCGCTTTGGTGCCTGGATTCAGAGAGCTCAGCTCCAGACCTACAAAATGTGCAGAGCCACCAGATTAACATTTAACCAGTCACCCTGTCCCCAGCTGCCTTGTGGTCTTAAAATCAGCTCCATCAAAGGTCCCCATTAACTACTTTTGGATTGCGTGTCCAGAGCATAGATAACACCAAGGCCAATAGGAACTCCATCTAGGGTTAGGAGCTGTACTAGTCACATCCCTGCCACAACTACCTCATGAATTCCAGGGGTTCCCCCAGAGATATTTCCCCTCTGGGTACAACAACTGTACTATTTGGTTTTACAAATATGACAATTCCACAATGCCCCGGAGACAATAGACAATTTTAGCTCACACAAAGACACAAGAGAGAATGGCTCAAATGATCAAGCTGCAGAGACAGAAAATGTTTCTGAAGAAGAAAAGGTAATGGGACTAAGTGAAAAAGAATATTAGTTTGGTATCTTCAAGGGTGGAGGAGAATCTTGAAAGTACCATGGACCATCAAAAGAACAAACCTTTGTTGGAAGAAGTACAGCCAGAATTCTCCTTAGAAGCCAGGAAGGCCCGACTTCGTCTCTCATACTTTGGACATATTATCAGGAGGGACCAGTCCTTTGAGAAAGACATCATGCTTAGTAAAGTGGGAGGGTCGGAGA